TTGCAGGCACTGGTCTACCCATTTATTTTTGCAGGCACTGGTCTACTCATGTATTTTTGCAGGCACTGGTCTACCCATTTATTGTTGCAGGCACTGATCTACTCATGTATTTTTGCAGGCACTGGTCTACCCATTTATTTTTGCAGGCACTGGTTTGTTTTCTTTTACCACTGATCAGCTGTAGGGCGGCCCTTTGAAGCCCCGCAGCAAGAGTTTAAACAATTTTTTCCCTCTAGCCATCAGGAGGCAGCAATAGATTGAGGGTGGGGGCAAACAAAAGGTAAGAATAACGTGGGGAGTGGGTGAGGGAGGCCAGGGGGCAGAACTGGTTTGGAGATGCATATCGTCACTGCTACCGGCTCGGTGGAACCGGGCCAAACCGGGAGGAACCCACCACTGGGAAGATCCCTTCTTTCTATCTTCACATAGAAAGCTTGTTCTGCTTTTCTTCATAAAACACTGCTGCCTGATCTGGCTTCAACAGCAGCAGGACTGTTGAACAGCCTGTTTCAACAGCAGGATACTGCCACTGAGGTGTAAGCTTTACTGTAAAAACATCTCCTTCACAGGTAGTGATCACAAGACTGTGGCAAGGAAGGTGCATGAATGATTTTTCTGTGAATTAAGCCTACACTGGTCTGCATAGCCCAGGGATCCCATTTCCTGTTTTAGATTACGATAGTTGGCACAGTTTGAGATATTGTACAGATCTACTGTCACAGATACAGAAATGTCCTTGAAGAAAATATGTGAGAACCCTAGCTCAGGAAAGCCTGAAGATGAAACTCAATATTGACCTGCCTTGACTCTCTTTAGTGTAACAGAGATAGAGTGGGAAATGCTGTCAGGCTTTCAAGATTCTGTTATACAGCCATATCAATATTTCTTGTGATGTTTGTTTCCTGAGCTAAAGCATCTTAAACAGTTGACAGCTCTCTTCGTGGATAATGTGGTGCAGAAATTTTCCAGTAAAGCTTTGCACAGAAATAGTTTTTTTAAATGTTCAAAATTCTTTGGTAGCAATAGAATATTAGTTGTATATATATATATATATATTCATGTCCACATTTGTTCAACTAGGGATGTATCATCCCTTCTTTTTAAGCTATGAGAAGTATTTTCTTGGAACCAACATAATAAATGACAGAATTTTGTGTAATATAACTTTTGTATTGAACACAATAATAGGGCCAGCATATTGAAACATGGAAATATTTCCATTGAGATAATAAAGTCTGAAATCATAAATCCATAAGTGTTTGCCTTAAAGCTTGAGGGATAGGATAGAAAAAATGGCAGATAAAAATAGCTGTTGTTATTTTTAGAAGCTTGAATTTTGGTCTGGTTTTTAAGCTATTGTTTTATTCACATATGGATTATAGGTAGTTCTTAACTTACAACCATTTGTTTAACATTCAAAATTACAACACTGAAAAACTGATTTTTGTCTGGTTCTCACATTTATGACCATCACACCATCCTTATGGTCATATGATCAGAATTCAGGCACTTAGCAAACAGCGTGTATTTAAGATGGTTGTGGCTTCAGGTGATTGCCATTTGTGACCTTCCCAGCTGACTTCCAACAAGCAAAGTCAATGGGGAAAATCAGATTTGTTTAACAACCACATTATTCACTTAACAACTACAGAGATTCACGTAACAGTCCTGGCAAATTGGTTGTAAAATTAGGGACAACTCACTTAGCAACCAATTTGCTTAGTAGTGGAAATTTTAGGCCAATTGGTCATAAATCAAGAATTATCCCAAATCTCCCATTCTGGTTTCAAAAATAGAAATGTACAAATTATCTACGGTATATAGGGAATTTTTGTTTAAGCCAATTTTTGAAATGTGGTGGAAATATGTACAATGCTAATAATTGCTAATTGGTGCTGTTTGTTAACAGCATAATATTTATCAAAGAAACATATTTTTCTTTCTTTCTGCAATTTGTCTACTCCCCAAATTTGCTTGAGAGGGTTGGAGAATCTTTGGAACAGATGGTAGAGACTGTTAGTGAGATAAAGAAAAAGTTTCATTGTATTTTTGCAGTACTATAGTTGTCAATAACAGTTTTATTTTCTTAACACTTTTTGGTGATCTTCCTTAGTTATATTATTAAGAATCTGTGTTTAATCTAAAATTTGGAATATAGCTTTTCAGTTTCAAGTATATAATTCTGGTCAGTGTGTTTTCTTTCTGATTTTGATCAAACTGTGTCACAGGAGCAGATTTATATCAAATACAAATTATTGTATAAAATAGTTCATGCATATCGTCAGTTGGAATTACAACTTTTATAAATATGTTAATACAGTGGAGAACCAGTGTTATAAACAGTAGTAGTTAAGATGAAGATTTAAAATTTAAATTCTAAATTTAAATAATCAAATGACTATGTACTATTTGTCATTTTATAGTCCAAGTCTGTTTCACAATTTGCACCAGTGGTGGGTTGCTCCTGGTTCGGTCCGGTTCTTATGAACTGGTAGTAATCGCTGGAGGCTCCGCCCACCCACCCCAATGTCATCACTGACTATCTGCGCATGCGCAGAAGCACGCACATGCTCCCGTTATGAACCGGTAGTAAAGGTAATGGAACCCACCCCTGGTTTGCACTACAGTGTATACTACCTTAAGGTCATAGGAAGAAGGCAGGATATACTTAGATTAGAAGCATGGACATGCAGGTTTATGGAAGCCAAGCCCTTCTAGATTTGAGGCCTAGATAATTGTTATGCCAGTGCCTTGAGTACTGGTGGGTTACATCCAGCTGTGAGCTTTGAATATACCTCTGTGTTGAGAGTCTGGGGAATGAAAACAGATTGATCTTCAATGAGAATGTCCTAGGGAATGGATTACAGGGTCAGTGGAAAAGTCTCAAGATACCATGTTTGTTTCCACATTGATTTTGTCCCTTTGGGGAGTAGAGAAAGATTAGGTGCCTTGGATGCAATCTCAAAACATCTGGAACACCATTTGAAAGAATCAGCATTGAGAAAATCACCATCAGTTAATTGCAAAAGGCAGCTTTACTTGGAATAGCTTACATCCTGCAATGAAATCTGTATAACACTATCAAACCTCCACATCTGCCTATCTCGGGTGGATAAAAAAGACTAAATCCAGTCTAAACTGACTGATTATACAACCAACCATGACAATATAATAAATATAATTTCTTTTCCACTCAGTTCAGTTCAGTTCAGGGTGTATCACATTTGAAGTTAGCTATGTTGAGCTTAATTGATTGTAAATTAATTAACACTCCAAAGAAGATGACTTTTTCACGAGATAATTAAGCTTTATGATAAATTTTAAATAGAGCAGCACAAGCCCAGGCTGATTTTCTAGATGTGCCTTTTTGCTGTTTAGACTAGGTTGACAGGCTTTTTTCATGTTAGATGAATTAGATGTCTAGAAATGTCTCTTTCTTATATTTATTTTGGCTTTGCAAAATACCGTTGTTATGACAGTAATATTTCACAGTCAAAAATGTTAATACTATTCATAAATTCTGCTCAGTGATAAACAAGAGATGCAATAAATCATTTTAAGTATTTGATGTTGATTGAATAAGATAAATGGCGCTTCAGGTAGTTATGACCTTACCATTTAACCTCATTGTAGCTGTTTAAAAATATTTTTTTAAAGTTAATGCAGCATTTTGGGAACTACAATGTCAGTAAAGACTAAATAATAATGATACTAAACTTTAGTACGACTACTGTGTATACGATATCTTTTTAATGAAAATCTTAATCCAAAGTATTTTGAAACTTCAAGTAATCCATGCCTCTTAGATATACATATCATTTTGCATGAATAGCTTAAGGATCTGAAGAAAATATGTCAGTACACATAACAATAGCATAAGATAAGGTATCATTTGTTCAAGAATGATATCCTCATAAATCTTTGAAACTCAAAATTCTCCCATATCTGAACTTGAATATTTCAATATTGAACACTGTTTAAGTGTTTATGATCTATACCTTTTTTAAAAAGTAAAGAAAGTATGTTAGTATCCGATATATATTCCTGATCTAATACATTTAGAATATATTATCAGAGAACATACTATTATCAAGTAAGTTGTGCTTGGATGATATTGAGTTCCTTGAAACAATTGAGAAGTTTAAAAAAATATGAAGATTTATTAATTGGGTGCCTAGAAATAGTGGAAGTGAAGATGGTTGTTATAAAGGTAATTGTCATTAGTAAACTGAATAATTTAGAAGTGTGGTTCTTTTGTTAACCTACTCTTACATAGTTTGTTTTCCTCATTATCCCTATTTTTTCAATTGGATTTACTTGCTTTATTGTTTTTGACTTTAATTTCTTTGGTCCACTTCTACTTAATCTTTCTCTAATTCATGCCTTAAGCTACAGGGAATATTATGTATGTATGTATGTATGTATGTATGTATGTATGTATCTGTAATATCACCAAATTAAAAACTTGTATTGAAAGAAGTATCAAGTTATCAATACAGACCAAACTCCATGTGTAAGTAACTCCATGTGCTAGAAAACCCCAAGATTTATGTCTAGTGTTGGTCCTTTTCTGAGAAATCATATTTTATTGAACACATCCTGGCAGACCTGTAAGATTTTATGCTAATACAGTTTGGCCAATTCATTGGTTATATTTTGTAATGGTAATTATACTTCAGGATAAAATAAAATTTAACAGAGAGCATTTGTTGATTTCTAATGACATTTGATAAGAGTTTAAAGTTTAGAATCCAGATTTATATTTAAGTTCTGAGTAGACCCAGGGGTCATGTGATTTGGTCCAAGGAGAATCCAGCTGTTTTCTAAAATTTAAATTGGATGAGTAGAATTTTATAGTTAGTACATTCTATATTGGGAGATTGCCCAATACTCTGTAATTAAACATTCTGATCAGTATGATACTAAATCAAAAATTAAAGAAGTTATTTTACAATCTGGATGATAATATTTATGGATATTTCTTATTCCTTGTTTTACAGGTTTTTCATTATTCTTATACAGCTTCATATGTGATATATAACATACAGACAAGGTAAGATAATGTTTGATAAATATTGCTTTGAGTACTGAATGCTACAAATGTGTCCAAGTAAAGTGTTTACTTTTTTCAAGGGAAGTTTGGGAGCTAAATCCTCCAGAAGTAGAGGACTCAGTTTTACTGTATGCAGCATGGGGTGTACAAGACCAGCAGCTGGTAAGAAAACTTTCCATGTTCATTTTACCAGCTGATCTATTTTAAAGCATTAAGAATAGGATAAAATTTATAGGAAACACATTTCTTATTTGGGATTTGTATGCAATTATTCCTTGGTTTTGTTTTCTAAGCTGCCTTGAGTCAACATGTGCAAGTTGGTGGCAATATAAATTTTCTAAATAAATAAAATAAATAAATAATTTGTTTCATTTTTGCTCTCTGTTTATATACAGCACCTTGCCCTGTTAGGTAACAATCAACAACATTTTCAAAAGAATAAAATTCACAAGGGGAGAAGAAAATAACAATGTGCCCTTCCTGCATATCCTCATCAGGAGATGAAAGTTTATTGAAAAATCACTCACGCTAACCAGGCATCCACCACCAAAGCAACAACCCATCTTCTACAAGAGGAGCTGTGTAAGAACATTTTTCAGATTAGAACAAACACATTGCAGCAAACCAAAATAACAAATAGATGGCCTGTACAACAACATGCAAGAGATGTGGTGGCTCAGTGGCTAAGACGCTGAGCTTGTCGATCAAAAGGTCAGCAGTTCAGCAGTTCGAATCCCTAGTGCCACATAATGGCGTGAGCTCCCGTTATTTGTCCCAGCTTCTGCCAACCTAGCAGTTCAAAAGCATGTAAAAAATGCAAGTAGAAAAATAGGGGCCACCTTTGGTGGGAAGGCAACAGCGTTCCGTGCGCCTTTGGCATTTAGTCATGCTGGCCACATGACCACGGAAATGTCTTCGGACAGCTCTGGCTCTTCAGCTTTGAAACGCCCCCTAGAGTCAGGAATGACTAGCACATATGGGCGAGGGGAACCTTTACCTTTTACAACAACATGTAACTTTATCAAAAAGTGCCTGAGTGACCACTCAAACCATTACAGCAGTAGCTGTGAAAATAGTAACATTGCCATACATTAAAAAAATAATAAAAAAACCAAAGACTATTACTACCACATGGCATTATTGTAGCACACAAACCAACTAAAACTCACTAAATCATCTTAAGTAAATCAAGACACAGTAACCTAAGAAGAAAAACATGAGTCATCTACAACATCTATTGTAAAGACTGTAACAGCCACTATGTAGGATAGCAGAAGATTAGCAGCATGTATTCATCAATATCAACTACTAGTAGCAGTCAGAAGATATAATAAAAACGTCTTAATGTCACAATAGATGAACGGAGTTAACCATAGTTAACCCAGTTAACCATAGTTTCAGTTAGGAAACTGAGAGAATCCTAGACCAAGCTAAATTCAAAATCACTAAGGAATTCCTGGAAGCTTGCCATTCATTCATCAACTGGCACATAGAAATAAGCAACATTTACACATCATTCAAAAGAGATTAAAAAAATCCTTCCCACCAATAATCAACACCCAGATAAGTACTGATTACCAGGATTAACATCAGACAAACAAGCAATACATAACAGTCTGATCAAGGAGAAAAAAACACCCTGACCAACACTAACAGGGCATCTATTGTATAGAAACTTACAGCAAGCTCCACTCTATCTTAGAACTGAAGATATTACCTAGTCTGGTAATGAAATGTCTGTGATCAAATATCCAAGTTCAGAGAGCACCAAGGAATCCAGAGTTCAATCATGAGTGACGTACTGTATACCATGATGATGTTTGAGTTAAAGGCCATGTGTATGTTGATAATATCACACTTCAAATGGTCTGATAATCTTTCCCATAATTTCACAGAAATAACATAAGAACAAGATGAATTAATGGATCAGGATCATTTTCTGAAACTGACTTCTTGTTAAGAACTGGAATTTCACTTAAATGGTACTTCCAAAGCCCATTTCTGCCAGGCAATCCAGAAAAATACCATAACTAGTGGTATCAAATGTTTCTGAGAATTCCTGCATAAACAATAAGGCATATATTTTATTTTTTTTAAAAAACCATAAAGACAAAACAAAGATAAACACATAGCTTTTACATATAAGAGGAATTCAGTCTTGAAATTAAGGTTCTTGATACTTAACACTTTGAAAATATGTATGATTCATTGTACTGTTTGGTCGTAATATGGTAACAGAGTATGTATACAAGTTCTTCTATGGCAGAAAATTAAAGTACATGAAATCAAATATTTTAGGGATATGTTGATTCATCTGTTGTTAATCAAGTTGGCATGGGCACTTAAATGATACAGGTAAGAATACAGCTCGCTAAATAGGAACAAAAAAGCAAAGCTGAAGTGAGAAGTAATTGCATCCATCTGGAACATGACTTGTAATTTTTGAATAATTAACTATACCAATTTGTCAATATATTCCTGCACAACAACAAAATGCCAGGCAAGAAATACTAGAATTATACACAGAGCAAAGCTGTACGCTGTTTACCAAAAAGGCAAAATAGGTATAAATGCTTCAAAATGTGTATGCTCGATAAGTTTGAATGTTTATTTCCCTGTCAAGGTCAAGGTCGGACCTTAACCTTGACCTCCGATCGTTCAGCTTGGAGGCTAAAGACACAGCATGGCTTTCTCCAATTCAAAGAGACACTTGTTCGGCAAGCTGAGGCAAAGAGGCAGTCCCGGAACCAGCAAAATCTGGCGGCTGTGCAAGGGACAGAATGTATCTGCCCTCAGTGTGGAAGGGATTGCCACTCTCAAATTGGCCTTTTTAGTCACACTAGATGCTGTTTTAGGACCTCTTTCCAGAGCACGATACCAAAGTCTTTTGAGACTGAAGAATGCCAATGAATTATTTCCCTGTGCAAAATGAATTGGCTACAACACAGTCACAAGCATGTGTTGTTGTTGTTGTTGTTGTTATTGTTGTTGTTGTTGCTGTTGTTGTTATCCAGTCAATTGTATATGAGACACATTTTTAAAAGTTCAGTTCTGAGTTTCATGTTTAATAAATGAGATAATAATAATAATTCCATTCTTAATGGATAGTTAGTATTTATTCTAGCTTCTTCTTTCTAGCATGTACCTTTTAAAAAACAATAGAAATATTCTTCAATAAAGGAATATTAGAAACAAGGAATGTTTTAATAAATGGTCATATATGGAATGCTAAGCTCATATTTTCAATGTTAAAAATCAGTAGAAGTGGTTTCCCTAGTTGTAATAAAAATTAATAATTTGTGAGGATGTAATGGACCATATTTCCAGTACTTTGCATTCATTTTGGTTAGTTGATTAGTGATAACTTATCATATCTTAATGTCATAATGTGTGTCATGAAGAAATAATTGATTGAACAATACAGACAATTAGCTTTTACACACATACTTCATTGAAAATTGGAGTTTGGCATAGAGCAATCTGTATTATTCAGTCCCTCATTTGTGCTGCAAAATGTATTATCACATTATTAATTAAGGAAGTTTTCATCTAATTATCAGCATAATAGATATGAATATCATACTTCATAGTCATTAATATTTGTATGACACTTCTGATGCATACCTACATAGATTATTATCTATGTACAAAAAAACCCCAATAAACTAAATACAGGAATTCCATTTCTTTACAAACAGGTGTAAAAACAAAATATTGTTCCAGTGGCTTATTGGCAAAAAGAAAACAATATTTAATGTGTATGCTGCAAGATTGTACATCTTATATGTCGGAAGATGTAGGAGAGTTATTCCAATTTTGAACATAAAAATTATCCTTCCTTCTTACTATATGTTGAACAATTTATGTGAAATTTAAAACAGTAGATCTGTCCTTTTGTAAAAATCAGATCAAATTACAAACCTACTAAGACCAACATGTTTATACTTCTAATTGTTAGCAAGACAGACTAATTACAACAATGATTAGAACTCTAATTAGATGCTTTAATCATTGGCATCTGAAAGAGAGGGATTGGGTGGGTAAATGGCAAAACATATATCATCACATCATAACACAAGGCACATATGTTACATACTTCTGTGAAACATCACAATACATCTACAAAAGGTCAAGATTTGTATCATGACATCATAACACAAGTTTTTGCTCATCATGGCCTGTATCAGTGTATCAAACACCTTTACGCTAGAGCATGGCTGTCAAGCTCTCAGCCTGCAGGCCAGATGCGTCATGTTCTGGCCACGCCCACGCCCAGTTTAGTGAAGGGGGGAAAAGTCCCGATATGTCACATGACGCCACTGTGATGATGCGAGTTTGATCCTCAGGGCTAGAGGAAGGATGAAGAAGGGGTGTGAATAAAATAAAATACCTCTCCTTATCAGGGCAGTTTGTATGTATGTATCTATATATATAAGCGTGAAAACTATTCACACTGTACGAAATCTCCAGAATCATAAAGCCTACAAGCTTGAAATTTGCCTCGTGTGTTCCTCTTGGCTTCTAGGTGCTCACTAAGAAAGGATTTTTCAAAATGACCATCAGAGCATTAGTATTTCCTATATTATGATTAACATGGTCTGATGCTAAAGAGTTCTACTCCCCCTCCCCACCTGAAAAGAAGGCTTCTGTGGGGCAAGGCTGAGAGAGAAGGGGGTAGGATAGGAGAGGCTTCTGTGGGGCAAGGCTGGGGGAGAGATGGGGATAGGATAGGAGAGGCTTCTGTGGGGCAAGGCTGAGGGAGAGAAGGGGATAGGAGAGGCCGATCGTAACTACTCATTAATTTTCAAGCTGTAAGTGTCGATTTATCAAGCCCGATCATATAGTTTCGTAGCGAAGCATGGGTATCCAGCTAGTGTATGTATGTATGTATGTAAGTATGTATAATAATTCTCTCTTCATCCCTATGGTAGAAGACTCTCAATCTCGGGTCCTCTACCAGAGGCCTGGGAATTTGAGGGTTCTGCGAAGGATCTTAGCTGTCCCTAGCACTGCACTCTTCTGAACAGAGAGATCTGATGTAGCTCCTGGTCTGTGTTGGAGCTGCTCTCCCAGCTTAGGAGTCACAGCCCTAAGTGTTCCTAGTACTACTCTGGGACCACTTTGGCTTTTATTTTCCACATCCTTTCCAGTTCCTCCATCAG